GATGAGCGTGGTGTCCTCAGATTGTTCATCCTTTAAAGTCTCCATATTTAGAAAAGTCAAGTGCTGCTGTCGATCACCAAGATCCTCCGAGTCCCAGTCGTGACGAGACGAGAGAAGAGAGAGAGAGGAGAGAAAGCGAGTCTTGGCAGCAGATTGAACTTGTGGCCGCTTCGTGACGCAATTTTCACCATGGCTTCTTCCGTCACCGCATCCGCTCTCTCCTGCGTCAGCTCGTTCGCTGTCAGGTCCACCTCTGAGCGCAAGGCCTCTGCCTCAGCCCCTAGCATTGCTATCCCTCTCTCTGGCGCCCGTGCCACTCTCCCTTCTTTCTCAGGGTTGAAGAGATCCGCAGCATTGAAGCAGAAGAATGTGCCTGCATGCAAGAGAGTGACCAAGGTCGCTGCTGCCAAGGGAAACGGATCTGCATTGGCCACGGTGAGGCTCAATTTATAGACTGCAATGTGTTCCAGGTCCAACTGAAAGTGGAAGAGTCCTTCCCCCTTACAAGATAACAATGCTGGGGGTTCTTTGCATTTTGAGCTAATCGATTGATGCTCTGGCCAAAGAACACTACCAAAGTCCTCTTCCCAAGGCATCATTGAGGTGATTTTGGCAAATGTGTGCAGATTCGTACTAATCCTGCAAACATTGTTCCTTTTAAAAGTTGCTGCGGCAGATCTTTGGAGCGATCTGTGCAGCCACATTGCTGGACTTTTCATTTCGATGGCCTGAATGCTATCTTCGGCTGAATGAATGATGATTGGCCTGACGAAGTACGTCATTTACTTCCTCATTCTGATATATGAAAAAAAGGTTTCCACGGGTAGATGATCAGAATCTTTCTCCTTCATTCTGGCACACCATTACCAGTTTGTGGCTTTTGCTGCATTCTTTAAAGGGTTCTGGTGTAAATGGCCTCTGACATCTCCCGCATCAGCATGAGCGAGTACATCTGCTGATGTTGCTTGTTTTCTGCTGTTTGTCGTCTCTAGCTAAGAAGCATATACCTATCCATTCTAAGTTGTTCGGCTTGTCTTCAATGCTCAACCACCTGTCCATCAATGCGAATTGCTTGAAGGAAGTCAACGCTACATCAGAGTACATTGTGTTTTGAGATGGCAGAGAGCAGCGCAACTTGCTCTAGAAACAATCGGCGCTTGTAAGTGGCTTCCATTCGTCGCAATCACAAGGTGCATCAGTCTTTGATGATGGACAATGCAAGAGTTGCTTGGTTGGTGGATACTTTTATTTCTTGGCACTGAGACACTCATGGCGGACATACGTGCGACTTTGATCATCACCCCACCTCAATCCTGTGAGAACACAATACACCCAAATTGGAGAAAGCAAGTCAACTTGCGCGAGGACTTCAGAGCAAAAAATGCGGAACAAACTCTTGATCCTGATGCGTCTGCAGGTCAACGAAGCTGCCTCAGGACTGCCGCTGGTGGGAAATGTGGCACCTGACTTCGAGGCTGAGGCCGTGTATGACCAGGAGTTCATCAAGGTAAGGCTGGCTAGCTCATAATGCTTTGCCGGTGTTGTTTTCCGCCTGACATAAATTTTAGGACCACTGTGTGAACTTACGCAGATACAATCTGCTGAACAGTCCTCGTAATAATGATGTTGACGTACTCGGGCGTCAAAAGGTCACTTTCATGGTGAGTTCTTTGCTTAGATCCCGCTCCCTTTTTTCTTTCATTAACAAAGTAGATAGGAGTCCAGAATAAGCTGGTTGTTGTTCGTGCCAGTCTCAACAAAGTTCGGTGGTGACAGCGCATCGTCGCTTCTTCTAGGTCGGAAGCGATGCCAACCTAGAACATTTTGCTGGCGGACCAGCTTCACAAAGTTGACTCTCCTTTCGCTACAGACTTTGTTGTCACCTTCATGTTGAATGGAATGAATTAGTAGTCGCATGTACACATGTAACAAGAGCACTTGTCTGCTAGAATCGTGCTCAAGCTTCACTCCAGTTCTCATCCTGTCCATGCGTTTCCAGGTGCGGCTGTCTGACTACCAGAAGCAAAAGAAGTACGTTGTCCTCTTCTTCTACCCCCTCGACTTCACCTTTGTCTGCCCCACCGAGATCACTGCCTTCAGCGATAGACACAGCGAGTTTGCGGCCGTCAACACTGAGGTCCTGGGCGTCTCCGTAGACTCTGTGGTAAGGGAGCATAGCTCAACCCTGTTGTCAGGCTTGTTCAGGCTGTGCAAGCGGAGTTCGATAATATTCTCACTGCGAGGCCACAGCTGAGTCATGAGATATCTATTGTCATACTTCGAAGGCCTTGCCTAGTTGTTGCCAGAGTCGATATGCTTCTCAATCTGCTCAACAAACACTTTCTCCAGCGGCCCCAGAATCGCTCTTTCCTTACATATGGGGCCTACTACTTGCGACTTGGAAGAACAAAGTTCGGATTGCCTGCTTCTCTTTCTTCATTGAAACTTCCCAATGGTAGAACGTAATAGAGGCAGCCAAACCAGATACCATCTTGAAACAATTCTTATGCTTTTACTGGATTACTTGCTGATTGGGAGCAAGTCGAAGCAGTCAGGCATTCCCCAGGACAGTTGCAAACATGATCTTGTATTTGCGAACATTGACGCCTCCAACTTCTCCCTTCCAAATTTCGTAGCCGGCAACACAGTCCGACTGCATCAGCGCATCCTACGACTCAATTCACGTGCATTTAAGAGAATTCCGTCTCATTCTGTCTGACTTCCGGCCTATGCATCTGCTTGCAGTACTCCCACCTTGCCTGGATCCAGACGGACCGCAAGGCGGGCGGCCTTGGTGACCTGAACTACCCTCTAGTTGCTGACCTCACCAAGGAGATTGCGAAGGCGTACAACGTGCTCATTGGCGATGTGGTGAGGACTGCTTCCGCTTGACAAACAAGCCTTGACAGAAGGTGCAAGATGCAAAGAGGGCCAGGCCTGCTTGACTAATGGTAAAGCGCTGAAAAGGCGGTCCAGTTGTCACCAGCGGGTGGCGGAATTGTCTGCAAACGTTCGAGTTTCTCAAATACGACTTGGGTGCAGACTAAGTGCTTTCCCAAAACGCTTTTCGGTCACAGAAACAGTAATAAGCGAGCGACGCAATTGTGCACCGGCTCCTAACTCGGCGGAAACGAATGTACGGAACACTTTCGGCCGTGGGGAAGAAGGGCCTAATTCGAGCCCTTGGAAGTAGTAGGGGTCGCAAATCACGCATGAACATGAAGGCTTGTGCCAGAACTTTTGTCATGCTACTCGCAATTGCGAAGCTAGCAGACAGAGGGGGACACGTCCAAAACTGCGATGAAACAAGAGATGAACAAGCATTGACTCGCTTCATCGTGGACCCGCTTTCGGCTCTCAGCCGAGACAGGGTTTAGAATTCGTGGCGAACTTTTAATGAAAACGACAGAGACGAGACACAAACAAAGCCAACCTTGACCGAGTGAAGGAGTGACGAAGATTCAGATTTAATGTGCAAAGGGTGCTGCTTTACGCTTTCTGTACGTTAGCTGTACCATCATTCCATGACGAAAGAAGGCACGAATCAGTACGACACGAAAACAGAGTCTATCCAATCGACCTTTGCTCCAAACAAGACTGAAACGAGACTGGGTCAGTCCGAGTTTGGACAAACAGTGGAGAGGAGAACTGATGGAAAACCCTGGTATTTGCAGGGCGCTGCGCTGCGTGGTCTGTTCATCATTGACCCCCAGGGCGTCATCCAGCACGCCACCATCAACAACCTGGCCATCGGACGGAGCGTTGACGAGACCCTGCGGACACTCCAGGTGAGCGGCTCGGTGTAGATCGTCCGTTTTGGTCCCGGCTGGCGCCCAGTAGGAGTCGGAATCAAGTCCTTGAGCACCCAGTGGAATCGTCGTGGAGATACCTTTGCGAGCAGGCCCTCCCTTCAGAGAAGCAAGCAACGACCCAAGAGTGCTGTTGTGTTCCGCCGTGTGGCTACAGCCGTCCGCAAAATCAGCTGGCTCCAGGTCAATCGTGCACCAGAATGTGCGTTATAGCTCACTCACGCTTTTGAACTACAAACCAAAAGTATAAGAATGAGCCGGGTAGGGTTGTTGGGTTCTGAAATCTCTACCAGCAATCCTGATTTGCCACCGCAGATAGGGTCTGTTTGTTGGAAGGATTGTGTTGGGGTCGCAATCTAGTTCGTCCGCAGGGTTTGACCTGCCTCTATCAAATCAGTCTTATCGTGAATTCTTTTACCACGATAGAAGCGTTCCGTGACCCATAAGCCCGTGGCGACCAACTGACCCGTTTGCTTGTGGTTTGTGACGCCATGCAAGACCGCTTAACTAGGATTTGACCAAGGACTTCTGCGAAGTGACGTGGTTAGACTCCTTCTTAAACATTCGAGGTACTTATAATGCAGGCGGTGCAATACGTGCAAGACAATCCCGACGAAGTGTGCCCAGCGGGCTGGAAGCCTGGCGCCGCCACCATGAAGCCCGACCCCAAGGGCAGCAAGGACTACTTTGCCGCCATCTAGGATGTTCGCCAATAACATGAACCAGCAGTTGGCGGATGTATAGCAGTCGGACAGAACAGTCAAATTAAAAGCCTCTTGTGCTTACGAATCATCTGGCCTGTGCAAGGCAACCAAAGAGCTCAGCGCAACAATGTATATTGACATGCATCAATGGCGCCAAGCCCAAAATCCAATGTTGAAATCGTAAACCGGCAGCAGTAATGTTTGTTCAATGGTGCTGACCAACTTGGATCCACATGCATAGTCTAGCCCTGATTTCAATGAGTCTGCGATGGATTGTTGTTTCTTGCACGCCATATAACCCCGAAAGGTACAGCCAAAACGATGTAATGCAAGACGGGATCGAAAACTTACACACATATTGCGATACATTCTGAATCGAACGTTGAACCGATGTGACCGCAGATTGCAAACTTATACGTGCAACATGATATGTCTCCAGTCAATCTTGCGTACGCACTGCTTGGGCTTACTAAAGATGCTTCATCCTTTCCCCCAAGATTCCCTCTATAACTCTCTTCGGTTTCAAATCTTGACGGTCCAATCTGGAAACTTTTCTACATCAATTTAGGAGCTGGAAAGATCAACGTTGTCAGTGTGCATGGTTTCCTTCTTTAGTCCTGTTCCTTCTGATTGCCTACTTCCACGTGCAAATTTTGTCACACCTGAAAAAAGGGAACTCTTGTCGACTTGTATAGTGCTTCTTGAGACACCACAAGCTGAACAAACCTAGTGGACAAAGGTGCCCCGCTGATCATATTCTGCGATAGTTTTGTAGTTTGACCTTCCTCCTCGACCAGCTTTGTCACCTTATAATTCCATGAGCGTGGTACATCACTCCATCAACTTCTAACTCGAGTTGAGGGTGGTTACTCTCGCCTTTTACATCAAAAATTGCGAAAAGAACACACACAGATTGACAAACAATCAGCTGCTTGAAGCAGCACGGCTATGCCACTGATAGGAAGGCGTGCAAAGGCGTGCAGTGTGACCTCAATTGCATCCATAAGACGTTCAGCCAACTCAAGCTTCGAGATTGGAGGAGTACCGTGTCTACACTGTGTGATGTATAACTTGCAGACACTTTCTCTTGTTGTCCAATTTCTCTTGTTGTCCAAAGAAAACCCCCAAAATTTACTGCACAGGCGGCAAAACATCCTCAGCAAGATTCATTGCCCTGACACCACGTTCAAGTTTCCGAGGGGCATTTGTGTGATAACTCTTTGGGTGTGCAACTGAGAGGGGGGCCTCTCTGGCCTACATACAAGATGCGAAATGATAAGGCTTGGAATCTCCACCAAAATACCGTAGAGACATTCCTAATTTGCACTAGATTAATTATTTCTAGGCCTTGCGAAAAATACAAAACTAAGTATCGACTCAGGTGCGAAAACGCGAAAAGAAAATAAATCCTCTGGCAGCCCAAAAAGTGGCAAAACCAGGGCAAAAAAGCCAAAAACGAAAACTTTAATAAAATCGACGATGCTGCTGCGAAATGACAAAACGTTCAAAAATAAACATTCGCACCAAGGTGGTGCGAATTAGGAATGTCTCTACGGTAATAGAAACCAGCCCTGAATTGTACACAACTCTCTAGACAACACAGAGAAGACACGGGACGCGTCAATGGAAGGGTTTTCGCTTCTTTTTTTACGCGCTTGCCTGCCAGGTGACCCCGACCAGACGATCGTAGGAAATCCGCGCCGTTGATCGATCTGCGACACTCCGGAACGGCCAAGCGGATCCCAACCAGATTCGAGCAATCCGTAGCCTCAACTAGGTCGTTTCATAGTCGTGGAAGAGCCAGCTTATCAGTACTGAAAGCAAAAGAAGTGACTCCTGTTGCATGTGAACAAAAAGGAGCTGAGGCGTACGCAAAATTGTCAAGCAAAGGTTGTAGGGTCGCCCACCTGACTTGAGTGGCTCTGGCGGCAGGAGCTCTACTTGGAAGTTGCCAAGCAATAACCACATTTTCAGGTTGACAGTGGTTCCATGCTACCAGCAGGCCCGACTGCAGATCATCAGGCGTGACCAAACCTGGGTAAGGAAAAAGAAGAGCACCTCAGACCCTGATCTCGGTGCAACCACGACAGGCCCTCTCTTTGATCCTTTGCATCCTGGCACAACACAAACGCCGTCTTGCCAAGAGGAGGTTACCTACAAACAAACACGCTATGATGTACCAGCTTCCCAGGTGTGCGCAGACGCCTTACAGAGGCCAGAGCAAAGCGCCAGCCCCATGCGCTGCGTGCAGAGCCGGTGCGTGGGCTGGTCCACCCTATCCTAGCCTTTGACGACAAGAAAGAAACGACGCAAAGAGGGGGCCTGAACACTCCGCACACAGGGAAATAGGATGCCGTCTCATTGCAGAAGCAAAGCACACAGACCCTGTGGTGACCAGCTTTCCCGGGTGTGCGCAGACGCCTTACAGAGGCCAGAGCAAAGTGCCAGCCCCATGCGCTGCGTGCAGAGCCGGTGCGTGGGCTGGTCCCACCCTATCCTAGCCTTTGATAACAAGAAACAAAGGACGCAAAGAGTGGCCTGAACACTTAGCACACAGGGGAACAGAATGCCGTCTCATTGCAGAAGCAAAGCACACAGACCCTGTGGTGACCAGCTTCCCGGGTGGGCGCAGACGCCTTACAGAGGCCAGAGCAGAGCGCCAGCCCCATGCGCTGCGTGCAGAGCCGGTGCGTGGGCCGGTTCCACCCTATCTCAACGTACGTGGAATGAAAAGCAACAAAGGCCCGCAAAGAGGGGCCTGAACGCTTCGCACACAAGGCCAGGGTCTGAGGTGCTCACCAGAAACGCAAAGCGCGTTGCCCCAGCCACTACATCGGCCCGCTGCTCGCTGCAAAAGATTGGCCACATTCAGCACGTGCTTGCAGCAACCGGGATCACCTGGCTGCTATGCAAGACAGGAGCAGATCTAAGAAGATTCCTCGAGTAAGGGATATGCAAGGACTCCTGAAGGTGCTCGCACTTTCAGCAGTTACAAGGGAGATCAGTCTTGGTCTGCATGATGCAGCCAAGCAGAAGAGAGAGCAGGAGACAGCGCAGGATGCAGGGGCAAAGTAAGCGAGAAGAGGCACTTGTGACTTAGCTTCATGCCATAGCAGCCAAACCAGGAAGAGTAGGGCTATGAAAAGCAGAACAGGCAGGAGCTGCGAGGACCGATATCCTCTCTCGACGCTGTAAAGCGGGGATCGCTCTCGACGCTGTCAAGTGCTCGATAAGTGCTACTCAATGTGAGGCTTTCAGTAAGAGATGGCAGATTCATTGGTTGTCGGGAGAGGTAGTGTAAGAGGACATGCCTTGGAAATCTTTTGCACTGTACAGAAAGTTTCACAAAGGGTTTTGCGGTCACATCATTTTGAATGACTCAGTGGGGGGGTTGCTCTTGCATTCTTGGTTTCTGGGTATTACTGTAGCACTTATTTGGGCAGTGAAAGAGGGCAGGTTTATCGCATGATCTTGCGGCGCGGTCCTGTCAGAGGAGTGGTTTATCACTATCTCAAACTTGGATCAGAAGCTCTCACAACACTTTGATCATCAGAAGCTCTCACAAAAGATGATACAATACTACTGTCACATTCTGGATTCTGGGGTTCACTCGGGCACTCATCTGGGAACTCATTGGGCATACAATTGGGCACGTATCAGGGACATGTCTCAGCAACAAATTTCAGTGATACAGATGAGTCACACAACCAGCGCGGGCACTGCCTCAGCAATCGTACTTCTGCGCGCAAGACGTTGAACCCACAGATTGCCTTTTGAAATGCCGAGCTCGCTTAAAGTAATGGCACGCACGAAATGCTTATCACACAAAAGGTTCGCACATATTTAGAGAAGTTACATGGAGCTCGGTAAGTCCGGCAAGTCTAAATTTGGGCCTGCCGAGCCTGCCGAAGTTACATGGAGCCTCGGTAAGTCCGGTAAGTGCCAAAATTGGCTTGCCGAGCCTGCCGAGCGTAGCTTCCCCAAGCACAACGAAATCGATGTGCTTAGCTCGGTAAGTTCGGTAAGTCCAGATCTGCGGACCGTCGGACGAACTTCATAGCCTCCGCATCAGGCGTCCGGACCGAATGCAAACTGTGCCAGCCATCATCCGCCCCTAGTTGCTAGCTCGTCCAGCTCGTCACCTGCAGCTAAAACTGCCGTCCAGGCTCGGAAATGGATGGTATGAAGTGAACGTTCGGTGAAGATATTTTCTGGAAACGATCAGATGGTAGCTGGCCCACTATAGAAGACTCCAGATCTTGCCTCCTGACCAGCTCCAAGTTGCCTGCTGCAGTAGGTGAGCTGGCTTTGAAGCAAGGTTCCATGCTACTAAATCTTCTGGGGCAAGCTGGTTGCTTCCAGCTGATTGAGGGAACATCACGAAACAGCAGCTGATGCAGCTTGTGCCAGAGCACCCACAATGGCTTCACCTAATGCTGAACCAACGTCAGAACTTCAGAGACACACGCCTGACCAAGCAGTAGATGCCGAAGGAAGGAAATCTGGAACACTCTCTGATCTCAGATCTGAGCATTCAAAGAAAAGGAAACGGCATCAAAGCTCCTCCAAGAGAGGCAAGAAGAAGAGCAGGCACAGTGACTTCAGCTACAAATACAAGAAGAGGTCTTCTGACCCGTCCAGGAAAGGAAGAAGCAAGAGGAGAAGAAGGCAAAAAAGAGAGCGTGATGCTAGCTCCAGCAGCAGTAGCTCTAGAGGGGCAATCAGTGAATCTGACGTCGGATCTGATGACTACACAACTTCGGAGACAAGTGACAGTTCAGACAGCGAGCGCGAAGGTCAGTTTATCATACTCACATGAGTTTCTTAATTTAAAGGATGTCTTCACTGAGAGAGAGCTTGTGCAATGTCAAGTGTTCATCATATTGGAGCCTGCAACTTTCGGAATGTTGAGTGTTCATTCTTTGGTGCTGACAGTTTCATCTCAATTGT